TTATGACTACACAAGTCTGACTGTTCAGGTGGCACTTTGACCCACTCCTCTCCTCGCCTAATGTTCTCAAGGATGCAAGCCTGTCTGATTGTGTCTTCTGTCTGAGCCATCCATGACCTCCCTCTTATCAGCCGCTGACCCTCAACTGCACACAGAGCTTCATGCAAAAGGTGGTCTGTGTCTGCAACTACCCTGAGATATGACTTCGCCTGCAGCACCTTGTGCCTACCTGCAACTGTCGGCAAACCAAGGATGTATCGCATACACACCACTGGGGTGTCTCTGGTGCAACCCAGAATGACCTGCATAGCCGCGTTCTGTATGCGCTCTAGTTTGTCCATCTGACTCTTTGAGACGGTAAGCAGTCCCAGACCATAATCAACCACTGACAGGATCAGGTGCTGATATAGTGTGAAAAGCATTCTCTGCTCTATGTCAGTTGCAGCCATAGTCTTAAGTGCACTAAGTCCTTTTTGGCATCTCGTCACAGCGCTCTCCACATGGTCCTTAAATGACAGGCTCCTGTCAAATGTAATTACCAGATACATCCGTTTTCTCTCTCTCTGTTGACGTTTCTACCATCTATCGTGAGACTTAGGACATTAGTTTTAACGATTCTGTTGTCCAGAGAACAGACGCCTTTCCCGGGTGGACGACAGCCCTCATTGTTGTACACCACTCTGTCCCTTTGTCTACTGTCGCTTGTAGCTCTCGGGCTGTTTGTTCCCCCTGCCTATATGCAAGTATATCATCCGCAAAAGTCAGTATCCTTCCAACTCCTGGTGCTTCTGGGCTTGCAATCTTGCTCGTATACACGTTAAGGAGCACAGGCGAGATGGCGGATTCCTGGGGCCAAACTGCATGGTTCTGAGGACCATGACCCAGTCGGAGAGCAACCCTACGTGAATACAGGACAGCTGCAACCCAATTCTCCAGCCATGGACTGACCTCCTTCTCCTTCAGTGCAGTCATTAAGATGTCGTATCTCACTCTGTTATAAGCATCCTCGAGATCCAGTCCTACCGCCATAGTTTCCTGTCTGTTCTGAAACCCTTCATAGACGTCAAAAGCAAAAGTGGCCGCATTTGCCCATCAGAGATGCAAACAGCGGTGAATAGAGAGTGAGAAGCAACAGCGAAATTCATAATCTGTTTAAAACACCACTGATCACTGGCATCATGAGAGCCAATAGACTGAAATGGTTGGGCCATATTGAAAGAATGAGTCGATGAAGACTCAAGAAGACGATGGAGAGACAATGTCAGACAGACCTGCAAACGCTTGGTGTCACCAATTAGAAAGAGAAGGCCAACCAGAGAGATGAATGGACGCGGGTGATATCTGCAGCTCGGATAAAAAGAGGAGAGAGCCTCTCGATGACAATCCAGAGATCCTTAGCGGACTCAAACAGCCTTCGGTGCCGAAGGTACCATTTAAAATGGTACCTCCCCTTTGGTCTGAGGTTGAGGACGTTGTGAAAAAAGCCAGCGGCAAGTCTGCCCCAGGTCCGAACGGTGTTCCGTACGTTCTTTACAAGCGTTGCCCGAAAATCCTAAAAATGCTTCACGTCTTGTTGAGACAAGCGTGGATCCGCAATCACATATGTCCAGAGTGGTCAAAGGCAAATGGGGTCTACATTCCCAAAGAGCAGGACTCGAAGAGTCTTTCCCAATTCAGGACCCATCTCGCTGTTGAATGTTGAGGGTAAGATATTCTTCTCAGTCATGGCTCGCCGGCTCACACAGTATCTGATGACTAACAAGTACATAGATACGAGTGTTCAGAAGGGTGGTATTCCAGGCGTTCCTGGGTGCCTTGAACACGCGACCATGATCTGGGAGGCTATCCAGAGAGCCAAGCATTGAGAGAACCGATTTGCACGTATATGGTTGGACTTAGCCAACGCCTACGGGGCAGTCCCCCATAGGCTACTGTGGCGAGCCCTTCACATGTTTTCACGTACCGACACAGATCAGTCAAATGGTCGAGCAATATTTCTCTAAGTTCGCTTTGCGCTTCTCTACCTCGACGTTTACCACGAAGTGGACTGAGTTGCAGATTGGGATAGCTATGGGTTGTACGATCTCACCTATTTACTGTTTGTCATGGCAATGCAGATCATGTTAGGGACGGGGCGGCCCGCTACGGACTTGGCATTCCAAATAGGGGAGCACTGGTTTACCGCCCACCACCTGCCGGCCCTTATGGAGACACGACTATTCTAAATCGGGCAGCGAGGAGTCTGCCCGCCACAGATCCCTGAAAAGATTGGACGCGGTGGTCCACAATGGAAGCGGTAGCAAGTTCAAAAACGCCGAGAGTACTGAACATGCGAGTCCTAATTTGTCACCATAAGGGCCAAGGTGTCGGCAAAACTGAGTCAAGGGTACAGGCCTCT